GAGAGAGAGAGAGAGAGAGAGAGAGAGAGAGAGAGAGAGAGAGAGAGAGAGAGAGAATAGATTCTGACTTACTAAATTTCCTTGATATTACAATCATGATCAAAGAAAAACATTTAATCTCCGATTGGTATCAAAAACCGAAACTTTTTCGGGGAGGTTTTTAAATTATTTTTTAAATCCTATTTTCCAAAAGAAAGGTATAATTTTTGATTTAATAAACAGAGCAATATTGTTATCTGACTCTGAATTCTATCAAAAGAATCTTACATTGATTATTAATATACTAATAGGGAACGATTATCCCCTCAAATTCATTTTTGACACAATCAATGTTAGAGTCAGAGCATTCAGCGTAGAGAAGCGAGTACGTGATTGCACGAACAATAATGATGAAACAAGGGAAGTTACATCGTGGTTTACTACATGGTGCCTTTTGTATTGATAACAGAAAAATTCAAAAAATTTAATAGAGAGGATATTAAAGTTTCATATTATTGCTCTAATAAAATGAGTAAGTTCATTAAGAAAAGAATTCTCGTTCAATTGATCAAAAAATGTAGTATACATGTGCTAGGATTATGATGCGTCATAAGTCAAACAAACGGGTAGACAACTTAAAACCAGAATTACAGAACACCACAATTATATTCGTTGGAATACATCTACCCGTTCTGTAATCACCAAACATAGACTGTAGACGACACATGATTTTGATTGGAATACAGATACTGGATGAAGAGTGTTATAAACGTCATGTTATAAACACTTAATTTCTGAAATGTTAAATATTAAAAAGCAAAAAAATAGTCTTAATCTCCAAACAGAATACGAAGGGCCTTCATAAAGTATATATTGATTATAAACAAAATTTGATATTCTTATCTAGTCGTTTTGTCAATCTATTAATTGCCTCTCAGATAATGACAGTCAGCCTTACCGCTAATGTATCTTTCAAAAAATTTTTTCTGGAAGATTCGATTTGTACAGATTATCAAGCATATAGTGACTGTGTATTATATTGTATTATTACTATCTGACTGGTATACTACCTCTTATATTATTTTACACGATTTTATGATGAATTTGACGAAGTATTTTTAAGAAATGAAATAAGCAATCACGTTAGTGAGTGTTTTATTGAGATGATATTTTTGCTTGGTTTTTACCAAGAATTTAAAAATAAATAATATTTTAAAAGATTTTTATTTTTTTCAGATTTTAATTTAATTTTTTATTTTTATTTATTGGTTAACAAATATGTTTTTTTAATTAGAATATCATGAAATTCGGAACAATCGGTCAGTAAATCGTTTGCAAATAATTCATGGTTTCCGTGAGGCATTCATCAATAAATAAATTGGAAAACTATATAAATTGGAAAACTTTAATCACAATTTTTCTATGATAATGGAAATGAATTTTAAGGTTGTGAATTTTGTATTATCTGAGGATGGCTCAATTCAAGAGCCGAAACATGTAATGTGTTTTACAATGTGTTATATATAGAATTTTTTTTATATTTTTATATTTTTTACCCAACAAACGAGAATGGATTGAAATGGATTCAGATTTTCAAAAACAGGAATTCATGAATGTTAAAATGAATCCTAAATGCATTTTTATTCCTTTATAGGAATTGCATAGAGCATATCTCTTTCAATCTAAAAATAATATTATAGTATTTCGTGTGTATGCATTATGAATGCTGTTCAATTCAAAATTGTGAATCGGAAATGCAGTTTTTCAATCTAGTTGAATAAAAAAAATTTTTTCTTTTAAAATGGACTATAAATGCTACATAAATTATAATTTTCAATAATTATAATATTCAAAATTATAAGTAGGAAATTTTTTGTTTTAATCCAACTAAGTAACGTAAAAATAATTGTTGAATGAAGTTATGTTCTTTTGTTTCTATATGATTAGAAGTAAAATAAATGATCAATATGAACACTTACAAACTAAATCGAACACAGTCGGAATATTACGTTGATCACGGCGCGCCAAGCGAGATTGGATCATCCGACACTTACCCAATGTTGTCTCATAGTAATGTAAATTGTTTATATTTTATTATATCTATTAAATAATGATATTTTTATTATATCTATATAATTTCGTGCATTGGTTTAGTTGATTGTATTTGAAGTAGAGAATGAATAACATATTTATTGAAAAAGTGGTATAGCGGTAATGTAAAAGTTTCATAATCAGAGGTTCCAGGTTCGAATCTCTAAGGTGCGTTTTTTAATACCAAGTTTTTTGAAATAATTAATTTCAGATAATAATTATTATAAATGTCTTAGGAATAAAATTTGTAACCCTTAAATATGAATGTTTTTTTTTTCGAATATTAAACTAGTGTCAGTCGGATCCAATCCATTTCAATCCATTCAATCCATTTTCATGGGTTTAAAATACACATTAACAAAATTTTAATCCATTTTAATCCATTCTCGTTTACTGGGTAATATATCATATTATAATTTTTACATTTATATTTAATTACGTTGACTCTTATGTGCTCTATACATCTTTATATTGTCTTTTAAAGTTATTTTTCATTAAGCATTTTTCATTAAGCATTTTTCAAATTGTAAGGCTTGAAAGTCACAATATGGCCGGTATTAGCATTATGCAAGGGATTGATAGCTAAAACGTCTTGAGTGAGTGTTGTTCAGGATCATGTCCTGAATAACATTTGTCAAGATCAAGGTCATTGGATTATACCTTTTATTTTTGCATTAGAAATTAATTTTTATGTAAAAATGAAAATAACAGATATAATCTTCTTGGCGACGCCATCCAAAGTCAAACTGACTAGATTAATGAATACAACATTTAAAATCCTACAAGTTTTGTAGGAAACATTTCTTTCTGAAGAAATGCTCAGTTTTCGACTATTTCACCGGTCCGGGACTTTTTACTCACCCTTATAATACACAATGCGTTTTAAAAAGTCATCGCAAAGTCATCAGATTTCAAATGTCTTTTGAAATATTTTGATCTTCTGATACAGAATGTTTCATTTGAAATATTCTATAGACGTTCCAATTGAAATATTATATTTACAATATAGTCTTAATGTTTTGAAGACATTTCATTTCCATTTTTCTGAACGATTTATATGTCAGGAAACACAGTAGTGTTTCGGCGCTAAGACAAGCGCAGCGACACTGCTGTATTCTTTTACGAACCCATGAATTACGAGGGACTAAAATTATTGGATCTATATAACAGCTAAACCGATCAGTTCTACGTACGCTCAATTACCATTCGGATTGAGTAATCAAAGTGCTTATATTTTTTTTCTACATGCTCTAAGGGCGAAAATATTGCGACGCAAAGTCCCGATGTAAAACTCTTCTCATTTCAATAATGATTCGTATTCATAGTCATAGATCGATTCACGATTGATTCTCATTTCAGGCAAACAATTGGTTTGAACTAAAGTTTGAACCAATTAGATTTATTAAAACGTGGTTTGAGAGCGTTTTTCAAATGAAAGACTGATTCAAACCTAGCACAAATCGAATCTCCAGTTGAATCACGACTATGAATACGACTATGAATGCGCACGCGTGCAATGTGATGTTTCAATCAAACTCCATGCAGTTTATATTGGGAAAAATTATAAGCATAATTTAAGCTAATGACAGCAGTATCTTAAATTTGGAATAACTCAGCGAAAAATGATCGTATCGAGGTCGGTAAAAAAACATTTTAAAGATAAAATTCTATACTTTCACGTGCATATTGTCTCATTAAACGGCGACACCTGATTCACACCAAAATTGGACCTTCGATTATCAATTTTGTATGTTGTTACTTTGTCATTCACCATTTTGAAAATAGCCTAGTACAATTCAAATAGTACATTCAAATAATCTTAAAATGTACATTTCAAGCTTCATTTTGCTTTTTTAAACATATTTTTATTATATATATATCTTCATTATTTAGCAAGTTATGATCATTTAAAATTTGGTAAATTTTTCTCAAATTTATAGTGTACTGCT